GGCGTGCGATCCCCCCCCGCCCTTGCAGCTGGGACCGGGGAGGGGGCGTGCTGCGCCCCCGTACAGCCGGGCCCCGCAGGGAGCTGGGCGGCTGCAGGCACCCGGCCCCGGGGCTGGCGGTGGGCTTCAGCCCGGCTGGCAGCGGATCCCCCGGCAAGCTTGGAAGTTTGACGGTGGTTTTTCTCTTCTCGTTTCCCGGCTCAGGGGTGCGCCGAGGTTTTTAAGCTGACTCACAGCCCCAAGTAGGTCAGTATCTGCTCAGCTGGAGCCTGTCTCTGTCGGTGGCTGTTCTTATCGATAACCCATCTGGGAGGTTCCAGCGGAGTTTTTGGGCTGCCAAAGTGCTGGTTATTGCTCTGGGAGGAGGGCGTGGGGGACGGGGGCTTCTATTTAAACCGGACTTGATGGATGGCAGACTGTATTTGCAACGTAAACAAAAAAGAAAACCCAAACTAAGCTCTGCATTTAAATTTAGGGCCTAAATTCTGAAAGCATCTCCTTGAACTAGAGCTTGGGCTTTTAGCTTCACAGCGTCTCTGGGAAGACTTGCCAGAGGCCTTTTGCATTACTCCCACTTTAAGACCTGGCCTTAATGAGCGAGAATTCATCGGAGTTAACTGCCAGGCTTGGAAGCCCTGACGCTCTCTTGGGAACAAGTACGTCAAACCGAGTAACTAGCAGCTCCTGAGCTCCCCAGGTTGCAGGGTGGGTGCTGCGCCTTCAACGTGGGCTTTGCTCCACCAGTGGATGGATGCGTGCCCTGCCCACGCTGGCTGGACCCGGCTGTGCCGCCGGCAGCGTGTGCCAGGTGGGCAAGTCAAGCGGGAGTGGGTGTTACCTGGGGTTTGTGGAGCCAACTCGCTCGGTATCGTGTGGAGCCACAAATTTGCTGGGAATCCAAAAATTATCTGTGTGTGGGGTATGTAAAAAGTGAATGTAGTGTTTCTTCTTAGGAGGCAAGGCAGGGACGTTCATCTGAGTGTTTATGTGCAGTTGTTTTTGAGTGACAGCCATGTTTGAAATAAGAATTTTCCACTCTTCTCTGTAATAAAAAGAGTAAAACAAAACGCTATGGAGAAAACATATGAAGCACCCCTTTTCTGAGGGAACCTACTGTTAAAACTGTGCTGCTGCCTGCTTGCCTTCAGTCTCCAGAACGTATGCATTTATGTGATGACATTAACACTTCCCATCTGCAAACCCTTTTCTCTTGGCGACTCAAGCTGCACTAACGAACCGCTCCAGAAAGCCGAAGCGTGTGATTCAAAGGCTGCTGATGTTCTGCTCTCCCCAGCCCTCTCTGCTTCAGGCATGAAGTCAGGAGGGACGCGTTACAAAACGGAGTGAAAATGAAGTTGTCGGGCATTAATTTTGGAGCAGACCTGCGTGTGTTGCAGTGGTCCTGAAAGGATCTGTTAGTGCTAGGGGAGGGCAGGGATTACGCATTGCTTGGGGAGCTTCCTTGAGCGGAACAGGGTCTGAGAACGCACCCTTGTAAGAGCAGCGCTGGGCGTGCGTGAGAGCGCTTCTGGCCTGCTCGCTGACTGGGAGGCTGGAAAGGTGCAGCTTAGCTGCAGATGGGAATTCAGAACGAGTTTTATACTTTGTGGATGTTTTCTCATTCCTTTGTTTAAATTACATTTTGGAAAACATTTCCTTATGCGGTATAGCATGTTTGTTTTGCGAGAATTGTGAATTAAACACGCAAAGAGGCTTTGGGATCATGGCCAAGGTTAGAAATGGTTCATAGGAAGAAAGCATTTTAAGTATGTGAATAATTCCTTTGACTTGAAGTTGAGGTTGTGTGTTTTCTTTTGTTTTTTGTTTTTTCCAGTTAGTGTCTAGCATGCAAACAAACATGCAGTATATATATCTCTTGTGACTGATAGCATCCGAAAGAAAAGTGCTTCATGTTAGGGAGCAGTTAAAGAGCAATTGATTTTTTTTTTTTTCCTATCAAGGAATAGTAAGGGGGTTTTTTGTTTGTTTTGTTCTTTTTTTGAAAGGACTCTTCTGCTCCAGAGGAACGCTCGGCAGGTATGGATGCTTTTCTCAATACTACGTGCCTTCACCGTCAAATACCTAGTGCATGCCTACACTGTTGTGCCTTGGGGTTTTCTTTGCAGCACTGTGTTTAATTTTACTACCATCTCCCCTCCTTACCTCCCTTCCCTCATGAGCAAGTGAGACGGTGGAGGTAGAAAAAGTTCTGGGCAGGACAGTTGTACCAGAGGGACCTTACAGCTCCTGCTGCCGTGGGCCTGGGCTTGCAGCAGCAGCAACAGCAGCATGCCCCAGTCAGAACCTGGATCTCGGTTTTGCAGCCTTGTTGGTGCCGTCGGCCTGTGGAGCTGCAGGGGGGCTGTCCGTGTTGGCTGCCGCCAGCCTGTGGGGCCTCTTCAGTCTAAAGCAGGCTCTTATCAGGGGTGGGCAGGACTGACCCGTTTTGGGAGAGTGGGGCAGGCTGATTACGAGCGTGGTGACCCCTCCCTTTGGCACTGATGGAGGTGGCCAAGCACCTTAGGGCTAGAGTCAGTGGTGCAAAATGAAACAGCAGCTGAGCCAGCACAGTTCAGACCAAGAGTCACCTTCGGTGGTGTGCGAGGGCCTTGGGCGTTAAGACAACTGATTTCTGACTTGCAGAGGCTGACGCCTCCTTCCCTGCACATGTATGGACCCATGCCTGAGTTGCAGGGCCCCAGCAATGGAAGACCTTGTCCTCTTTGTTTCCCTTCCTTTTTTTTTTTGTGGCAGAGCCTCTTAGGGCTTGGTTGTTTCTTTAAGAACTGAGTATCTGAGAGTTGAACAGTGGAGCCCAGGTTATTTGCATCTGGAATTAGATTTGCTTCTTGGATCTGATTAAACATTTAACCAAAAGCAAATAGGGAAGCACTGCTGTTGCATCAAGGCAGCCCGTGAGCAAGAAACCTGCCTGCAGTGCGTGCCTGGTACCTGGCCAGGCAGGGAGCCTTGCCTTCCACGCAGAGAGCCTGTCTTCTCTCCATGCACTGTGCAGGATGTGATTTTCCCCAAGTAATGAACCAGATACGTCTGTTGTAGCGGAGTGTGTATTTCTGTATTTCTCTTCCCCCCCCCCCCCCCCCCCCTTCTTTTTTGTCTTTTGGCTGTAACATGGCCTTTTGTGCTTTTTTTGCAAAGTCACTGTCCCAGGCTGACCTTTGTCCAGCTGTTCCCTCTCCATTCTGCTTTCCTGCCCCTTGAAATCTTCGCTCCAATCGAGGTACAGCGCTTTGCCCGCAGGAGCACATCTCTGGGAGCAAAGTGTCCCATCCTTCTTTGGTGCAGCTGTAAGGCACCAAGAGCCTTCCGTGCTGTGGGGCACAAGGTGACACAGCCAGGCACTAACGCTCTGTCCCGTGGTGGCTTCTCTCCTCTTCCTCTGAAGGAGGCAGGCTGGGCTGTCCATACCCTTCCTTCTCGGGGGCTGTGGGCTGGGGGACCTGCTGTGCTCTGGTCCGGTTGTTCCCCTCTCTGGGCTAACCTGAGGTTTTGGGGTCCCCAGGTCCAGCACAGCTGCGAGCTGTCTTCCTGCACACGGAGCACGAGCGGAGGAAGTCGAAGACGGTCACACAAGCCGACATGAAGGTGGAATTACTCCCAGCCCTCACAGACAACTACATGTACCTCCTCATCGATGAGGAAACGAAGGAGGCTGCAATAGTTGATCCTGTGCAGCCCCAGAAGGTAATGCTGTCTGCTGCCCTTGTGAAGCGGGGTGCTCGCTGCTCTGCGGCCCTGGGAGATCCTTCCAGGCTGGCACATCCATGAGAGAATTAGTCACATGCTGACTGAGCATGGGGGAAAGGCAGGAAATACTGGCCATGCATAGGTACGGACAAAGCTTCAAAGGGACTCTGCTTCTGGGCTCAGGCAGCTTGTCCCTGACTTCAAGGGTTATTGACCTGATTTTGGGTTTTTGCCCTTAGTTTGATGTAGTGCAGAAAAGAGGAAATGGGACTGAGGGCTTAGTCATGGCTAGCTGGATCAGAGACCTCGTGTCCTGACCTGTAACTACAACTTGGAGAGGGATGAGCTCTCTGCAGAGTTGCTGGTGTGGCTCTCGAACCTTGGAGCAGTTGTGTCCAGGTTACGCCAGGCACCAGGTGTGCTCTTAAGTCATTTCATGCGAGTTGTAATGCTCTTGCTGTGCCCTGTGCCTGCAGGTTTTGGATGCAGTCAAAAAGCACGGCGTGAAGCTGACCACCGTCCTGACCACACATCATCACTGGTAACTGTCTGCTCTAGTGAGATCCCTCTTTCCTCTGCATAAACAGAAGCAGTCGAGAATTGTTGCTTTTCTGGATCAAGTTGGTCTTCTCTAAGCAGGAGCTTAGGTGTGAGGAGAAGGATCAGAGCTTAGGAAGTGTTCCCTTCGGCTTGCTATGACCAGAAGCATTGTCTAGACTGCTCTGCGTGTCAGTGCCTTTAACCTTTAAAATGCTGACTTCTTCCAGGTGGCCAGTGAAATAAATGTGTGTGAAGGCAGCTGTGGAGTGCAGGAGGGAGCACGCTCACACTGAGGTGCTAAGACATGCCTGTAAGGCGTGCTACTCACAGTCAGCAGTTGTGGGAGGATTACCTGGGTTGCAGATTAACTCTGCCAGGGACGTAATGATGAATGTTTTGCTGTAGGAGTTCTGCAGTGCTGAACCTGAGTAACCTCTCCCGTGGGTCATAGTGGAGCCACCTCTGTGGCTGGAGAGCCAGCCCTGATCTGGCAGGACCAGCACCGCGAGCGAATGCTGAGCTGTTTGGACATCTGTGTGCCTGCGCCATGGTGTCTTGTGGGACACTGAATTACATACCTCCCAGTTATCCCAATCTCTCCCTGTGTCCTAGTTTGACTGTGAGCCCCTAAGGCTGATGTTTCCCAACTAGGTATGAACCAGGGGGGGGTTGTTCCCCCCTCTCCCTGCCCTAGTTACTGGAGAAATTATCTCCATTCGTGTTGATGTGGCATATCCTTTGATATGAGGACAGTGTTACGTACTGGGAGAATAGCTGATCAGAAGTGATTCCTGGAGGTTACCATTGCAATGTGAGTTACAATAAATTTGTCTTTATCCCTGCCCAAATCCATTTTTCTGACCTTCCAGGGACCACGCTGGAGGAAATGAGAAGCTCGTAAAGATGGAGACAGGGTTGCGTGTGTATGGGGGAGACAGCAGAGTTGGAGCACTGACACAGAAAGTGTCTCACCTTACATCACTCAAGGTAAAGGGAGTGAGCTGCAGGACTCGGTTGGGGCATCTCCCGTTTGTGTCACAGCTTTAGAGCCGGACCGGTGTGGTCCAACTTGAGTTAACATTGTGGTCACGGCTCTTTTACCTCTTAACATCTCTCAGATGTAGTTGATAGTTTAACTACAGCTTTCGCCCTTTTCCAGCCCTGTGAACCATAACCCCTCTGTCTCATTTTGGCCGGTGAGACTTTGTTGATGAGAACATTGGCATGGCTCAGACACCTGCATTGCCTGGGGCGTGCTGGGTGTCCGCGTGCTCCCTGAGAGCTGCCTTAACTGGGGTTGTCGACGTGTGAAAGGACAGGGCTTATGCTCTGCCTAGTTAGCACTGAACAAACGCAAGTGGTCCTTTCTGAGCGATGGCTGAAATACAGGGTGAAGAGAAAGTGGGCCAGCAGTGCTAGCTGCCTGCATTGCTTTTCCAGAGCTACAGCAGCAAACCTCGTTGGAACCTAGCTGTTTGTTTACGTACGAGCTGGCAGATGACATAAACTGCTGTGAAATGTGCAGGCTGGCGTGAATGTCGCCGCTAGTCTTGCGGTGCACCTTTGAGAGGGGCAGCAGCAAAGAAGGGAGCACAGAAATACATGGGAAGGTGTGCAAATTAGGGCTGTGGGGGAAACGTCCCCTTGGCCTCATGAATGTGTTTAATCCTTCCCTTTTCGTGAGCGTCATCCACTTCTTCCCTTCAGCTTCATTTTTGTTTGGAGCTTTTTACACTTGATTAACTTTGTTTAGGATTTTGTGTTGCTCTGGATCTGTTTGCTCTTGCTGCCAACCAGACGCTGAGTCACTCTGCATGTAAATGAAAGAATCTGGCAGTTCTCTTTGTCGCAACACCTGCTAGGAGGAAACAGCTCCCTTCCAAGCCCCTGCCGTAAAACTCTCTTGCTGGACTCTCCCAGGAGCGGAGCTGATGTTTACTGGCCAGCTATGTGAGAATTTGCCTGTAGGACCATTGTAATAGTTGCGATTCTTTTCTAACCATACAAATGCTAGCAAACAGTAGCTAAAGCTCTAGTCTTCTGCCTTCTTCTCAGGTGGGATCTCTTAATGTGAAATGCCTCTGTACGCCGTGTCACACTTCTGGACACATCTGTTATTATGTGACTAAGCCAAATAGCTCCGAGCCACCTGCTGTTTTTACAGGTGAGGAGTTGGGAGGTTACATTGCCGGCAGTCTGTGTTGCAAAGAAATAAGCTACCCCTCTGCCTGTGTGCTCCTGACTCTGGATGTGCATTCGTCCCTTACTGCCAGCGCAGCTGATTAACTTCCACATCTTGCCCCCTTACCGAGTGCTACCAAGTAGTAATTGTAGATGAAACTGGTGAAACCCCTCTGGGTTTGTAAACCAGTGCTGGACACCCTGCAAGCAACGTCAAGAGTGAGCCCTGGATGAGTCCTACATCTAGCATTTTCTTTCTTGAAACAAGAGCTGTTGGTTTACTGTCTCAGGCCAAACTGTGGCTTGATTCCAAAACCTGTTGCTTTTCCATATATCTGTTCCCAGATCTGTAAAAAAAAAAAAAACAAAACCCAAAAAAACCCAAACAAAAAAAACGGAGAGAAAAGAAAGGGGGGGAGTAAGAGAGGACTGGTGCTCCATCTCTGACAGCCAGGTTCTGGATCCTCTTTTGGAGAGTAGGGTTCCCCCTTCCCTGAGACTGCGCCCAGTCTCCCCAGACTGCCATGTCATCCCTCTCCTGACGGGCGTTCTCCAGAGCTTGCACCAGCTGCTGCATGGAAGAAGTCACGGCTTAGGCAAGATTTTAGGGAGCTCTGGGGAGAAAATGCAGAGGCGACTCATCTTTGTTCAACTTCATACCAAAGAGGACAAGTGTTCCTTGTCCACTCTAGAAAGGACAAGAGGGGACAGCAGACTGCCCACAGGTAGGGAAGCGCTGGCATGGTTTGCCTGGCGAGGCTGTGGGGTCTCCTGCATTAGAAGTTGCGTTCGCCGCGTGGGTTTATGTAGCACTGAGCCCGTGTAGGGCAGCAGTGTAGCCTGGCTCTCCCCGTGCCTTCTGCTGAGCTGCAGCGAGGACAGTGATGGCAGGACTGGGCCCGCGGGGACCGTGGGCTCACGCTTTGGTGTGAGGAGCCTTGTCCTGATGCCGTGTCACGCCTCCCTTGCAGGTGACACGCTGTTTGTGGCCGGTTGTGGGAAATTCTTCGAGGGAACCCCGGAGGAAATGTACAGAGCGCTGATTGAGGTTTTGGGCAGCTTGGACCCCAAAACGGTATGAACCTCTCCTTTTGTGCTAGTACGTTAACCGGCCAGAAACTACCACAGACATCAAAGAAACTGTCGTCCTAATAATGCTGTTGTTCAAAGAGAGAATTTCTCATGTGTTGAAGGAATGAGTGCTTACATCAGGAATTGTCTTTGATGCTGAATAGCTGGAGTCCTCTGGGAAGGAAACACCTACCCCAAATACGTTTGTGCTTTGTGGGGAAAGAGTAGGGGCTGCTTATTAAAACAAAGGCTGGAGGGCTGGGACGCCTGGGCTCTTTCATCAGGCTTGCTGTTAAGCCGGCAGGTAGTACTGGCCAATAACTCCTGGCACTTCTCCTGTGTGCGTCTCCAGTGGAGAGTGTCGTGTGTCCTGGAGGGTTGACTCTCTTGTTCCTGCTGTGCCATAACATTGGTGATGGTACCTGGCACTCCACCTTTGTACCTTCGGAGTTACCCAGTGTCACTTTTCCTTTCTCTTCCTAGAGAGTTTACTGCGGTCACGAATACACGATCAACAATCTCAAGTTTGCTCGACACGTTGAACCCAATAATGTCACTGTCCAGGAAAAGCTTGCTTGGGCCAAGGTAAGCCGGACCGTCCTGTCCCTAGACTTGCTGGATGCTGTCATGGAGGCAGAGCCTCTCCGAGGAGGTAGAGGAGAGAGGACAGTGGTGGGGGGAAAGAGAGGCTGCGGGAAGGGAGTTCAGAGCCAGGACCTGCAGTCCTAGGGAGCAGTGCGTTGGGGAACAGGGTTTGTGTGTGGCCCAGAGAAGACGGTTTGCTGTCTGGTGGAGATGTGACCCTCCCTGGAAACTTCTTGGTGTAATTACAGGCTGATGTGTACGTCTGTCTGGGAGGGTCAGCCCTGTCCCGAGTCTCTCCCTGTGCACCTCAGTGCTTGTCTGTCTGGGTGTGTGCGTGGCCCTGGGAAGGGCCTGGCCTGAGGAGCAGCTCAGGCCGTTAGGTGCAGCACTAACCCTGTGTTGTTAATATACAGGACGTTTCTTGTTCACCAAAACTTTCCTCGTCAAGCAGAAATCTCTCCCTTGTAACAGGCAAAGTATGACAGTGGTGAGCCGACCATACCCTCCACCATCGCAGAAGAGTTTACGTACAACCCCTTCATGCGAGTGAGGTATGGAGGAGATGCGGGTGTGGGAACGGTCCTTGTGTTTGGAGGGGGGATGTAGGAAGGAGGAGGTCTCCAAAAAAAGAGCCGTAAGCTCAGAATTACTCTCCTGCCTCGCACGTTCCTGTTGTGATGCTTTCAAGACCCTCCTTAAAACACCTGCCTTCCAAGAACAAGTACAATAAAATGTACTTGCTGTCCTGGCAGAAGCTTGCTGCAGTGAAATTTGAAGGGTTGTGGTGAGCATCTCTGCCAGCGCTGAAGTCCCTGACTCAGGAGACAGAACAAGCTTTCTTGTGTAATTATGTTCCTTCATCAAGCAGAATTTGGCAGACGGGCGCGGCCAAAGATGCTGTTCAAGGCTCAGGAGTGTTTGTGATTTCCTCTTGCCAATGAGCGTTTAAACCAAGGGAGCTGATAAGCCTGTGCCAAAGCCCCGAGTCTTTGATCTTTAAGTGCAACATTTCCCCTTGATGCAGGCGAAACGTGATAGTAGCGACTTCATATATGAGATTTTATCTTGCAGTCTTTGCATTTGCTGTCCCCGGTGTTCCCTCCTGGCAGGGAGAAGACAGTTCAGCAGCACGCTGGAGAGACCGACCCCATCCGAACAATGGGGGCCATCAGGAAAGAGAAGGATAACTTCCGAGTCCCGAAGGACTGAGCACTCTGCCTGGATCACTTTAATGTCAGTTTAAGTGTAATTTAGACCATCCAGATGTTTTAGGAGTTGAACCTTCTGTTGTGGTTGAGACAGTCATATTTAGGTTTTTGTTTTGTTTTAATTAAGGAAAAAAAAGCACTTTGCCCTTGTTTAGATGTTCTACAGCATATTTATATTATGATGAAGAATATTTATCCTTCTATTGCTGGCTCTCAAACTGTCACGTGTGTCACATGCAGATCATTTTACAAGTGTTGGGTCATGGCTCAGAGTCTGGGGTGGGGAAGGGTCAAACCTTGAGGTCTAGGAAAAAGCTCTTGTTATTTTTGTAGGAGCCTGGTGTGAATGCAGACAGTGGGACTGGGGCCCGAGATGTCTTCATTTAAAACAGAGACAAAATGCAGTAACTACATTGCCAGCTGAAGATTGGAACTTTTCTTCCATGCTGCTACTTAAACAAACACTTCTGAGTCTGTCGCTTCGGGCTCCACTAAAACCAGTTCTCGGTGACAGACCTGATCTGCCACCGCCCCTTCAGGGCTTAGTTTGGCTCTGGGCCTGGCTCTGGGAGTGGCACACGGGGACTGTCCAGCTTTTCTCTTCTCTTCTCCTCTCTGACGTTCCCTGTCGTGGGCTGCAGTAACTTTTCCAGGCAGCATGCTGGCTTAGAGATTGCACTGTTGCTTATACCCTTTCACTCTTAACTTAAGCCTGTTCGCATGTACCTGCTTACTGCTCTTACGTGTGATCTGTATGTGACCTGTATTAGTACCACTCAAACGAAGAAGGGATTTGTCTGCTGGTTCAAAATCCTGAGAAGAAACTTACCTAGTGACTAACTGCGTGTCTAACAGCTGAGCAGCGATGAGGCTCCTCCAACAGATGCCTTGGTGCCCATAGCCAGAACAGCTGCTTTGTACCTTGCTGTGAGTAACGTGGCAAACGAGCATTTATTAGCTGGCTGCTGTTCCCCAGCGAGAGAGCAGCCGTGCTGGTGAGCGCTGGCAGTAGCCGTGCTGGGCCTGGGAGGCTCCAGCTTACGGGCCTGAGGTACAGCAGATGCTGTGCACTGGCGGGGTCGATCACCCAGCCTGCAGCCTCTGCCTGGTCCCCCCTCTCTGCTAGAAAGGCCACCGAGGTGATGTTATAAATGAGGTGAGGGTGTCCACATATCGCCAGATTAAACAGGGCTCAGATCTCCGACCCCCTGAGAAACCACGTTAGCGTGGCACGTTTCTTTTCCTTGGTTGGTCCATGGGGCTTAAAAGCCGCCTCTGTTCCTGGGCTAGCGTTGTATGACCCCAGCCTGCAGCCAGCTTGAAAACTGCGGAGAGGGAACTTCCCCTCACGCTGTTTTTCTGACAGGGAATAGCGTGTCGAACTTTGGGGGAAAATGAATCTAGATTTTCAGTGAGCGGGTCACCCCCTCCTGCGCTTTCCATCCTCCAGCTCGGTGTCTTTAAACAAGAGATGCGAGTGAAGGGTGGCAGGACCCAGCCTTGTGGGCTTGGCATCTGCGTCTTTAATGCATTTTCCTCCTAATTGTATTTTCTTCCTTGTTTCTTGGTCTCGGCTGCATACTGCAGATCTGCTCAAGTACAAGAGATTTTCAAACAAATGTTTTGCAGCTGAAACTAACAAAAGATTCAAACGATTTTGGTTCCAGTTTCTCCCCCTCTCCCCAGTTCATGTTGGTAAGTAATGCCACGATGGAGTCTGTAACCGCCTGAGCGTCACTGGTGTAACTTTGGTCTGCTGTTCCAACCAACGCGCTGAATGGCAGCGTGTGAGCGGGATTCGGGGTAGCACCATTTCTTTATTTGCTTTCAAAAGGTAAATTTTACGTAGTTCGGAAAGAAAAGTGGTACCTAAAACTTCACCGCCTCCTTAACTTGAATGCTGTGCTGCTACAACGGAGCATGACTGTACTGGTGGCTGTTTGACAAATGAGCAAATAAAGAGCAGCTGTAAACCGAGCATCGGTGGGGCGGTCTGGAAGGAGGGGGTTCTTTAACTCATGATTTTATTTATTTTTTTTGTGCTAGCAGTTGAAGTCAACCAACTGGAAGCATCTTTCTACCCAGTCCTGGGGTGGAGGGGAGCGGGTGGCGTTTTGGGAACCTCTGAGGCTTTATTCAAGGTCTTGGAGTTGCAACTCTGTTTTCCTTTTTAAAGAAGAACGGAGCAGGTTCAGCGCTTGTCTCCTCTTTGCTCAGGCAAGCGCTGTTCCCTCCTTCACGAGTGGTATTTGGGGGACCACGGTCAGCCCTGAACCGGGGCTTGTGCCCAGCTGGGGAAGGAGCCGGGGCAGGGCTCTGCTCCCGCCTGCCCGGCACCTTTGGTGCTTTTTGGGCCGGAGCGGTTGGGAGGCTGTCCCTGGAGCTCTGGCTCGGTCGTGCACGAGACCCTCCCAGGACCTCCCTGCTGCTAAACAGCAGCGCCAGTGTCTGGGACTCGTCCGTACCATCCTGCGTCGCCGATGTTCCCAGCGCCTGGTGGGAGCCGGCACCCCCCAACCCTCCCAGGGACGGGAGGGCCTCGGCCCTCTCGTTTTAGCACGTTGGCGGTGGGAGAGGCGGCTATTTTTGCATGCTGGCCCTTGACTTGCTGCTTTGGCGGGCAGCGCCTGGCTGGGCTGCGGCGAGGGCGAGGGGCCAGGCTGCGGTTTTGGGGCCTGAGGGGGGGACGCTGTCTGCCCCAGCCTTCCTCCTTGCCAGGCTTTGCCCCCCCCCTCCCCCC